TTGAGCCCGAAAGCTTGCAGAAAAAGATTTTTTTTTTTTTTACAATTTCTCAGTTGGTCTAATAAAAGGTATCATTTTGGAACCAAGAGTGGTAGGTTTTTGCACTTCTTTTTGTCTCAGACCTCATGGCTACCACATACATCCCTACCTGTATCTTTTGCCTTCTAGATTTAATTTCTAGATACCAGTCATACCTATACTCCTACACCTGAAAAGCTTTAAAAGGGTGGCTGTGCTGGAACACTGAATCAATTCCCCATTGGCAACTGGGGCCTCTTTTCTTCAGGCTTGCTGTCCATGACTGGCATTTCCCTAATACCTAAACTATAATCTAAGCTAAGACCTGTTTGTATTAGGTGGATCACTGCTTGAATGCTCCAAAAAATTCCTGAGGGGTGTAAAAAAATATACCATGAAACTCACCACCTTCCCATCTGAGTGCCAAAAGCATTTCCTCTGACCCAGTCTTCAAAGGGAGGACATACAATAGAGGTGACAAGATTTTGAAAAAGCAAAACAAAACCCCACAGATCTTTCTTCCTGGGACAAAGAACCACCTACTCATTTACTACACCCTGCAAGGCAAATACCACAGCAGTGTGTGCCACAGGGCCCCTAACAAACTAACTTTTTGAAAGACAATGGGTTTTCTTTTAAATTTACATGAGAAAAGCAGTTCATGGTATCACTACAACTAACCAGCCAAGATCTGCTTTGGTGAATTCTCCAGAATTCTAGATCAGTTAAGAAACGAGTCACGAGATCTAAGCTACTGGGAGGATGCAAAACATCTCAGCAAGCAGAGGTACTCTCACTCAGAATCATAGAAAATAAAGGTTGGAAGGGACCTCAGGAGGTCATCTAGTCCAACCCCCTGCTCAAAGCAGGGCCATCCCCAACTAGCTCATCCCAGCCAAAGCTTTGTCTAGCCAGGTTCTGAAAACCTCCAAGGATGGAGATTCTACCACCTGTCTGGGTGACCTGTTCCAGTGCTTCACCACCTTCCTAGTGAGAAAATTCTTCCTAATATCTAACTTCCCTTGCTGCAACTTGAGATGGTTGCTCCTTGTTCTGCCATCTGCCACCACTGAGAACAGTCTAGCTCCATCCTCTTTCAAACTTCCCTTCAGTTCCCTCAGTCTTTACTCATAAGTCATGTCCCCCAGCACCATTTTTATCGCTCTCTGCTGGACTCTCTCCAATTGGTCCACATCCTTTCTGTAGTGGGGGGCCCAAAACTGAACACAATACTCCAGATGCGGCCTCACTAGCGCTGAATAGAGGGGGAAGAATCACTTCTCTGGACCTACTGGCAACACTCCTACCAATGCAGCCCAGTATGCTATTAGTCTTCTTGACAACAAGGGCACACTGCTGGCTCATATTCAGCTTATTGTCCCCTGCAACTCCCAGGTCCTTTTCTGCAGAGCTGTTGCCTGGCCAGTCAGCCCCCAGCCTGTACTGGTGCATGGGATCAACTTCTGTTAATATTGGTACATAGGATTAACTTCTATTAATTATTAAACAGAATAAATACTAGAGAGGTAACTTTTAATAATTCCACAGTGCTTTATAAAGAGAATTCAAGCACCATTTAAAAATACTTGCAATGCATAATGCCCATTTTTAAATCATTTATGCCCCACACACACCACTTTTGAAACACAGACCACAGATCAGTAACTGTACAGTTCACGAACACCTCTTCCCTCACAGAGAGAAAACTGAAAGGACAATGTATGGCAAATGACAAGTAACCCCTGCTTGAAGAAAACACCTAAAAATGAATAACTGTTCTCTCTAGTTTCTTAACGCATACTCTCCTTCAACTGATCTGGGTACCTACCGTCAGCTCTGAGGCAAAAAACACTATGGCCAGAATTTTCAAATCAGGATGCTTTCAAAAAAATGTATTTGCATTTGCAAATCAAACTGTCCTTTTCAAAATTACCCCACCAAGACACAAGCCAAGCAGCATTGGAAGGATTGCTGATTGTAACAACCAAACAGCCATAGCAGTAGATCCACTGATCCAGGTCACTGAATTCATCCTGGTGAAGGCCAGCCTTAGTTGAAAGTCCCAGGATCAACGTAAGGGTAAGCAAGGAACTCTCCCAGTTTGTTGCCTTCTGCATCATAATGGAGCATTCGGAAACAAACATCACAGAAGAAGCAGGGGTCCTCTGGAGCAAGACTGTCCTCATTGGTCACCCATCTGTAGGTTTCAAAGTACAGGTGTTTCATATTACTGGTTTCATATCTAGTAGGTATAGGAAACACACCCAAGAAAAAACTATTCTTAGACAGATTGCATTTAATACCTATAAATACAGGGATGTATAAAACACACAGTAATCAACTAGCTAATTTAATTATCACTGCCATCATCTTCATGCCACTCCTAGAGGCAAAGCTCTTCTCCAAAGACAGGTTTCCCAAACACCCACTCACCAGCCACATTCTGCAGCAACATGTAGTAGGGATTTCTTGGGTCTATCCTGCTATTAGCACAACTCTGGTTATTCAGATTATAATATGAAACTCCCGTTTCCTGCCAAACAACTTAAGGAACACCAGTTAAAGCTCCATTTTCCCCTATTCCCCAGGCTATGCCTTAGACAAGTGGTCCTCAAACTTTTTAGATTTAGGGCACCCCTCCATAACTTTTTTTAATTTACTGTCACCCCAGTTGAAAACCACTGTTATACTGCTTCAGCTTAGCTTAATAATTCTCAACTGGGGCCATGCCACCACTGCTGCCAGGTAAAAGTGCCCCATGTGCCTCATGCATAGTCAGACTGAGACAGGAACACCCAATAGTCCCCCCCCCCCCCCCCCCCCCCACCAACCCCCCCCCGACCCAAAAAAAACATATTCAGACTGAGACAGGAACCCCCAATAGTCCCCCCCCCCCCCACCCAATTGAGAACCACTGCTTTAGACAAAAAATAGATTCCTGAGTAATCTGAACAGCCTGAGCAACCACCAAATTAATTCAGAAAACTGACAAATAACTGAGCAGGGAGATACAATTACATGAAAAACGGCCTGATCACAGGCACTGGTATTTAATGTTGCTCTTAAAGAGTTGAAGGCTTTCCCCCAGTGTTATTAGCATGAAGATTTAGTAGGTTCTAAGCTGTCTTACTATTACACAGAGGCATTAGTAAGTTTTCATTATTGTTTGTTAATTAAAAAGCAGAGTTTGCAACAATTTTAATTACTGTCTGATCACTTCTGAATTTGTTTCAACTCAGGAGCACACACACACACACACACACACACACACACACCCCCCTTTCTTTTAAATCATAGGCTGAAATGAGTCAGGCAAAACAGAAGATTACCAAGGGAGGGTATTAGTTACAGGAGAAGTTGACACCACTGGCACTGTCAGAGTAAAGTGGGGGAAGCTGACTAATAATTTTCTTTATGATAGTCTTTAAATGCCCCAACAAATCAAGTCCCCTGCTATTTCAGCATAGAACAGAACATGCACAATATGCACTCAGAGCAGCTCTGGTCAACCATGATTCGACATCTCCCACCTAAGTGCTAGTCCTGGATTTAAACTTAATGTCACTGGAGACTATCACCTTTGACACTGCCTTCCCCATCCTTCCATCCTGAATGGAAGGGATGGAGACGTGCAGCTGAGGGTAGAGGGGAAGGGACAGGGTGCCAAGTGTGCAGGGGATGGTGGATGGGCTTCTTAACTGATTTGGGGCTTAAAAATAAATAAATACATACATAAATAAATAAATGAGATGCTGCTGCTCATGTGATATGGTCTGCCTGTCTGGGAGGAGGGGGACCTGGGAGCTGCATTGCAGTCCCCCCTGCGGTGCACCCTATCTTCACAAAATCCTGGATCACCCATGGGCATCTCACATGATTATAAGCCCTATTTTCAAAATGGCATCTAGGGAGCTCAACTAAAAATGCTGGGATGGACTGTCCCAACAAGATGGATGCTGGCATTCCATCCTAAGTGAGCTTAAATCAAATCCCTCAATATATAAGAGCACAGTTCTTGTGCCAGAGTGGGAAAAGGGGCATGAACTTGTTTTTGAGAACAACCAAGCCAAATCTTCTTGAAACATAGGAATTTATACCTTGCTCTTGGGACTAGTTTATTTTCCTGCTACAAAGATTTATACAATGACAATAGATGAGTTTTTCCTACCACCAAATGATACCACCAAATACCTCTCAGCTCTTTAACTTGACTATTCAACCAGTAAAGCCTGTTTGTGGTATTTCAAGAGATCAATTCATGCACAGTGTAGAAAACAAAAGACGTACATTTGTGCATGTGGAACCAAAAAGGAATCCTACTGGGGTGCATGGACAAAAACATCAGACTCCCAGGAGAAGCTATATTTTGGTATTTTAACATTTACCAACAACTACTATTCTAGGCTCTCTCAACCTTCCTATATTACTCTAAATGCATGCTTCACTCCCTTCCTCTGTAACCATACTCTACCACCACCCCTTAATATATTGGATTTAAGAAATATTGCATATTTCTCCTGAAAAGAGGGGGGAATACCATGTTACATTTTTGTAATAATAACAAATTTAATCCAGCATTCTCTGTCAAACTCAGGAAAACAAACTGCTCTAAGTCCTATATTGATTCTACGCACTGAGCAGAACACTCTCCAAAGATTTGGCACCACTACGATTTCAAATCTTTTGGCTGTCCTGGCATCAGTTAGTTTATGAGATGGGCATATTATAAGGACTGTAGAGCACATTTTTCACAAAGAACAAGATCAAAAAGCACACGAAGTTATGCACTGAGAATCATGCTGGATTGTACTATTAATAGCTTGAACTAATTATAATCATAGACGATTAAAAAAAAAAAGCCATGTGTGCACACACACACGCACACACACACACAGAGTATATAAAAAGCAACGAGACTTCCACAAGTAGAAGCTTTAGTGGGGTGAAGCAACCTGGATAACCAAATAAGTTTGATCACTTACCTGGCTATATACATTTTGCACACAAAGCATTTTCTGGTATATAGCCAAGGCTTCTTGATTAGCAGAGGATAACGAGTTCTGTCCAGACAATCATCACGATGAATAAGCCTCACAGAAAGAAGGAGAGAATAAGACTTAACTATATTGCAAAATATCACCCCAGATAATGATGTAAAATGATGGCACTTACCATGATTTAAAGGCCAGTTTAAGTCGGGACAAATCATATTCAATGTGGCTTAACACAAATGTAATCTGTAAAACAACACTAACTGCAACACACTGGAGATTCGTTCACTATGTTTACTAGTACTTTATATTAGTCATGTAATCCCTTATCCTAGAACGTGCAGAGTGCCATGAAAGCCCTAAGTGCAGCAGGCTCAAAAAAGACAAGTTGTTTTTTGGTTCCAGCTACAGAAGAAGTAGAAGTGCAAGAGTGTTTCTACCTTCTATCCACTGAGGAGACCTATGATGGATGACCACAAGTAGCTGAGTACTCAAGGTGCCCAACTTTTCCCAGGATCAGGCTGTTTAAATGAATGCTAGTGAGATACATGGAGGAGAGAAAGAAGTGGAGAATATGGAGCAATACAATATCAGAGGGAAGGGAAGTGGGAGAAGAGGCATCTCCTTTCTGCTGCAGAGGATTAGGCACAGAACCTTTTCCTAATTGTATTCTCCATGACACAATAAACTGTATGAGGTGTTCTACTAGTGAGGAAGTTATGTAAGTGCTTTGCCTTTCCTAACTACATGAACTCTCAAATTGTAGTTACTTACCTTATGTCTGTGATGGTAACAATGTGTTCACAATCACCTTGGTGACAGTACAGATATGGAAAACCAATTTTGAGGGACAAGTCATTGAAGGTATAACCTTCCATATTAACAGCCTGAAGATTCCCATAGCCTCTGTCATGAGATTTTGACCATTCAATTACTGTTCTAAAATGAGGAAAAGAGTGTCAGCGTTGTTATACAAGAACCTGGGTTTAGTAAATCTTTTCCCTCACATGTTCAAGAAATTAATGGTATAGCAAAACAGTAAGCCAGCCACAAAAATATTCCACAAAAGACGTATAGTACTACTGTGGTTGGTTTCCATCACATCTTAAACTGAATGTGGGGTAGGGTAGCAACAAGCTGGAGCAGTTCTAGACCATGTGTGGTCCTGGGACTGGGAGTAACAATCAGCTGACTGTTGGTCCCAGCCGTGGGACCACTCCAGTTCACATAGGCAACCCGGCTTTCAACTTGCCAGTCCAGAAGGGGCCTGGGAAAGTAGTAATAGCACCACTGGATCTGAACATGTGGCAAGGCAGGAGGTGCGATTGTTGGGATCAGAGATCAGATCCCATTGTGCCATTAAATAAATGTGGGCCATGGCCCACATGTATTAGATATAGTTTAGTTTATGATAGATGCATTTGTATTAGGTTCCTTAGATGTAAAAACAAAGCAGCCTTATCAATGAAAACCATAAAGAAGGTAACAAAAACAGAATGGTGAAAAATAACATTTCACAATAGTGAAAGATAGATACAGAATGTATCAAAAACATAATTCCCAACTAATTGACACCTTCCACATCCACAAGAGAACTGGTTCAGTCCCGTTTCAAAAGTTTCAGTGAAGCAAAGAAATCTGAACACAGCCAATCAAAACACTTAATGAACAATTCATATCTGTGGTCGTAAACCTGAGGAGAATGAAGGATCTGAGGAACTGTACAACCCTTAAGAGTTGAGAGATCCTGGGCCTACATCCATCCATTCTTCTTCCTCAGATAAGACACCTTTTAGCAGATGCTATTAATGGGCCATTTTAAAATCTATTCCAGGCCAAACTAACTACCCAGCCTTTCCCTTTCACAGCTGTCAACTGCCAAGAAGTAAATCAACCCCAAATGCTACCATGTTAGAGGTGCAAGAGAAGTTCCACCCCAGTGTTGGAAAAGGGTACAGACAAGGAGAGAAATTAGGAACCTTCTCTTTTTTCAGAAAACTTGAATGTAAGGAGCAGGCTGAGGAAAATAAGTCAGTCAATACTGAATGGAACAAGTCTGATTTACCTTCACCCAGCTATTAAAAGTTCCTACTTCAGAAACACACCAGATCATCAGGAGACCTGGTCAAATTTTCCTTCTCCCCAAAAAGAGTTCCCTCCAAAACAAGATCTATAAATACTATACCTGCTCAGATCTCTGCACTCTGGATGCCTTTTATCATTGTAAAAAACTCCTTCAAAATAAAAGAAGGCAGCTTTGTACAGATCCTTGGATAGAGAGAGAAAAATAAGGATTTAATAATACAAAGCAATACATTAAAACACCAGAAACCTTGCAAAATGAAGCCTATGAGGAAAACATGCAGTTTGTGTACATAGTTTTATTGAGTCATATACTGTCAGTTTTTGACCTGATCAACCTTACTGGTTTCAGCTTACATGGAGATGAAATAATGTGGCTTCTTTTACTGTCCGTGGCTATGCAATATTACTCTCCTAAGGACATGCTGATCTTGCTCATACATATTCTCTCTTTTTTCTTCCCTCCCTTCTGCCATTGATCCCTATTTTCTAAAGATCAGGAGCATCATTCCATGGCATTTAGGCAAAATTTTGCTGCAAAGTACTGAAAAAATCAGCAAGGTCAGAGAAAACTAGGCAGCAAGGTGCACTGTTCCTCGGGATGACAATTCTGTTGTAATCCTGCATCAAAACAAACTCGAGGTGGTCATGTGGCAAAAGAAAATGCTCACATCTACAAAAAAAAAGATAGATGTGCTGTTTTAGAAGGTAAAAGCATCCCCCCCTTCCCTTTTGGAGACTCAGAAGATATTCAACATTCCAAAAAATGCCCTCTTTAATCTTGTAATTGCATAATTTGTTACATAGAGACAGGTCATCTCAAACAAACATGTCCCTACCAAAATAATTAACACTTTATGATCTTCATATTAGCATGACCTGGGCACAGAATTCTACATCAAGAAATTATTGAATCTAACCACTAAGTAGCCATTATTCATGCAAGGTTATATAGCTCTATATAAAATATATCTTCTCTCCCCCCTTTTCTCCCACAACACAAAAGGGTAAGCATATCCCTCTTATGAAACTCTCTTTGTATCATCAAGGAAGAAACAATGCTGGGGTGGAGGGAAGGGAAGCACAATAACCAAGAGTCACTTTCATCTCCACTGCTTTTACCATGATAGTTAAAGGACTGTTCTTGTTTACAAAGCTAAAAGGAGAGGCAAACAGTATTTCTTCAAATGAAAAAAACAAATTTGAATTGTCCTTATCAGAACTTAAACCCTGCACTGCCGCGGGCTCTGCAGAAGGAGCCATGGCCTCTCCACCCAGCTTTGGGGGACCACAGTTTGGCTGTCCGCAGCCACTTCTGGTCCAGCAGCCAATCTGCTGCAGCCCGGCACTAGGCCACAGCCCAGGGATTGAGAACCCCTGCCCTATACAACCTGTTGAAGAAGAAAACTGTACCCTGAAAGAGACTTAGGATTCCAGACAGCAAGTCCTTCTTTGACCAGGGAAACTGGCCAACTGCCTTATGGGTAGACAGGGGTGTAGGCTGATACATTATAATCTGCCTGGCAACTGACTCCCTAGCCCAGCCCCTGGCTTCTTTACTTTTCATTCCATCCAGGAAGAGCGCACACCAACTGCTGAAACTTCCTTAGCCTGACGAAGGGTTTTTGAACTCGAAAGCTTGCTTAATAACTATTCTCCAACTATTTGGGTTGGTCTAATAAAAGATATCAAATTCACCCAAGGAACCTTGTCTGCCTTATGGGTAGACAAGCACTCAAAGCAGAAAAAAAAGCGAAAGGATGCTTTAGAACATTAGCTGAACTCCATATGGAAACGTCTTAGAATTTAACACTTCTGTAAAGAACCTTTCTGTTTAGGAACACATCTTACATATGTTGTGCGTCATTATACTATACACACACACGGTGTATACACAGTTTTACTGTAATAAAAGGAAATCGCAAATCCAGAGCATGAGCCTCTCCTTATTTTTAACTGCAATGTAAAATAAGAGAGTTGATCTTTCCCACTGGAATCTGCTGACTTTGGGCAATTAACTTGAGCTGAAATTATTCTGTACTTAGAAGCATGAGGTGCTTCACACTACCTAATACCATGAAAACCTGATTGTCTTTAAAGCATCCATACATCTCAAGGTATTTGACAAAAATCAGTGAACATGATGTGCAAGTATATCCTAGTATCCCTACCACGACATCCAAAGATTAACAAAACTGTGTAATTCTAATTCAGTAAGAACAATCTGAAATCTCTCCATCCTTCCCTCTAATTACCCTACATGTTTTACACTTTGCTGGCTGTCAGCCATTAACATAAGGGAATGACCAAGGCTACCATTGTGAAAATGCAAAGACCAAATTTTTGAAGCCGTGCAATCAGGGTGGTGACGGCTGGCCTGTTAGGGATTCTGTACAATTCTGTCATTCTATTTTGTCACCAAAATCCTGCTGCAGAAAGAGCCTTGCCCACAGATTATCTAGGGGGCTAACTGTACATTCAGCCACAGCATTTTACTGCAGGAGCTGCCATGGAGTCATACCTCCAGAGAGGATCCAGATCCACAAGAGAGCTTACAATCTTAATACAGAAGTCAGAGAAAGGGTGGAAAAAGGCTGGGGGGAATACTGTTAAAAGCATTTTAAAGGTTAGGATCAAAAGGGTGAAGGGACTGCACAATCATTATGTAAGCAGAGCCAGGAACTTAACTCAGGTATCCAGAGTCCCAGTCCAGTAGCTTAAATACATGACCACTTTTCTTCATTACACACATTAAGTTTTTGTTATATTTTTGACAGCTTAAAGTATAACAAACCAGGGGGCACTCTACCAAAAGACAGGGAATTTAGAAAAGAAAATGTTTCCTTGTTCATCATGAGGTCAGACAGGAGAGGGCTCTAGAGGGCATTACATAAGGTAGATGGAAGAAAGTGAACTTCTGGCTAAAACTAGCAGGCTGTTGTAATTCTAATGTCAGTGTAAATAGAACATTACCACATCATCCAACTCTGTTCAAACCAGGTCATTTTGGCAAAGGGCTGAACACAACTGACCCTTACTCACATTATGGAACAGTGATTCTCAACCAGGTTGCCCTGAGATCCTTTTGAGAGTGATTCAAGGTACCACTTTTAGATATGCAAACATGATTTGCAAGATAAACTCAGAGATTTCAAGTAGAAGTCCATTGTTGTGGTCTTTCTGAATTCTTTGCAACAGAAAAAAAAGCTCTATTATTTTTCTATAGGCAAAAAAAAAGAGTGAAAACTAAGAACCGGCATTTTCCAAGGGGTGCCTCAAATCTAAAAGGTTGAGAATCATCGTTACAGAACTTGACCACTGTCAGACAGTACAGTCACACCTTCTCCTGGGGTATGTGGGTAGAGGGAAGGACTACACACACATTCCCATGCCTTGGTGCCTTTAAATCAGATGACTGTACCTTGCTGATGTGGTCCGGAGCCTGGTCAGGCTGGCTGCTGAACTCACCACCAATCTGGAGGTCACTGACACAGGAAATGGAGTCTCTTAGTTCAGTGAGTTTTTGACTCCCTAACACAAGGACCGTCTGATATGGTTTGTTTTCTTTATGCTAGAAAGCAAAAAGGGAGATGGCTTCAGTTAAAGCAAGTACCAGAACATCTTTAGTACAAATGCTGCTCCAGTATGAGGCCAATATGAACAGCAGAAGGCCCAATGTCCCTCCAAACAAAGCTGCCAAAAGCTTGCCCTCTACAGCTACTCTTTAGAGCAAGAGAGTCATTTGGAAGCACAAATGCTAAACTCCCTGTAGTAGCAAGTAGCTTGGGCCTGACCTAACAGCTATGTACAAACATAGTACTTTAACTTCAGATACTACATATTCTGATTCTTCTGTAAAGCAGAGTTCCTACCAAACTGCTGTAAATGTTTATGTCTCTTCAACTGCAACCTAGAATCATCAAAAGCTACCCTGGCCACTTGTCATCCACTATTCTTACACGGTGCCCAACATAACAGGGCTCCAGCTAGATAACTGTAGATGCTAACACAATTGTAGTGTTCAGTAGCTCACTTTTTATAGCATCACACTGCTTGAGTGATTTTAGCAGAGCTACTGGTGGAGCATGGCACTCTTCAAGCTGGATAAAGGTATCAAAACCTAACCTGGAGAATTTAACACTAACCTTTTCAAATATGACAGGACAGTAGATGTTCAAAGTTAAAAGCAGGTCTCCCTCTTCAACTAGATCTTCTGGATTGTTAGGCCTCTTTCCAACAGGTTGAGACTCCTAGAAGATATAAAGTGATATAACTGTGTCAGAGTATATTTTATTGCTGCTTGTGCAGAAACCAGACAAGGAGAAAGTGTGTGAAAACACATTCTTTCACAATACTGCCTCTTGTTAATAATGTATGGGTCCTGAAGCTTCTTTCCCCTTTACAACTGCCAAAATCTCCAAACCAAAAATCCAGCAGAGCCAGGCCTTTTGTGGCACTGACTGCTACATTCTGGAGATGAACTGAAAGCATCTGTCATGCTCTTCCCTTCAGATGAAGCCCCAGCTGCCAGAGACTGAGGAAGTAATGTCTCCCTTTTGTTGCAATTAGTCTGCCCCAACTCTGCCCACACAAACACACACAAACCAAGACAGACTGCTGCAAAAACGCTGTTTTGGCACTCTGGGCAGCACAAACTGCTCTTTTAGCCTTATTAATAAAGATGCTTAATGCTGTTGGATCTCAGTGGAAGGATGAGGGCAATTCTTTGGAGTTCAAGCTAAATGGACTCTAACACTACTCTCTTTTCCTAGTGACAATAAAACAAAAGCTTTCTAATGTGTTTTAAGTTTTACTTTAAGTTCCATTACAACTATAGACAAAGCAGAATTCCAGAGCATCTGTTATGATACACAAGCTCTCTTCTTAAACAGGTTGACCCCAAGACTGCTGAGCAGCTATTAGCCTCTGTTCCAAAGGACAGTTGTGTGTGTACTGTGCAGCTCTAACTTTCACAGTATTTGGTCTTTCTTTTGTAAGCATTTGTCCCAAGGAGCTGGAGATTTACAAATTAAATCCTTCAATTAAAAAAAAATTACCTCTGATGAACAGAGAAATGCTTAAAAGCAAACCTTAATGCAGTGATTCTCAACTAGGGTGTTGGGGCACCCTGTGGTGCCACTAGATGCTATGACGGGTACCACGAGGTGTGAGGAACTAAGTGAGATGTGAGAAAAAAAGCAGATAAGCTAAAGAAATAAGGGCAGGCTCAGGCTTGTCCATGCGTAGATGATTCTTCACCCCTGCACAGCCCCAGGAGATACGCACTGTAATATATAATTTATTTATTTTTAATTGGGTACCACTCAATGCACAAAAGATATGGAGGGGTGCCTCAAGTCCTAAAAGGTGAGAACCAATGTTTCAGTGGGTCAACCAGACAAATTAAAAATACTAAGTTTGGGGCAGGGGGGGGTTGATGATAAATTTATTATTTTAAAGCCAATCTCATGGCTCTTGAAAACCTGGGGTGGCAATACTGGTAACTTGGCTCAGGAGATCTGACTGATGAAGCCAGAGCCATGTCTCTACACTCCCTGATATGCATGTTTTTAAACAGAAGCTGAGATTTTGGCAATATCACAGGTTTCTAGGAGTGAACTTTCAGTATTTCCTTTGTCTAATCTTACCATATGTTTGAACAGCACCCAACATATTGGGACCATATAGGAACTGCTGTACTGTGGTGGTGTGAAGGAGATTCAGACAATATTGGAGTATATTAGATACTGCTCCAACACAATGAGAGAAAAAGTTATTGACCTAGAAATACTTTCAGAACAAACTACCACCTCACCTAAGGAAGTGTCAATGGAATCATTGTTTACAAACTCTTAGTTTAGTTGGAATGGTATACCTGGCTTCACAGCATAGAAATAGAAACCCTTTCATTGTCTTGCAACTCTAGAAAAAGGGTGTCACAAACCCTGTTATGTTTTGGAGTTTGTGGCATGTCATCATTGTTTCCTTGTGCTTTACTGTATTGATATGGCATGCGTGGTTTCATCATAAAGTCCATGTTATGGTCTATGTATATCTTTATGATTTGGGATATGGTCTAGTCAGGGAACTACTCAGGGACTGGACAGAACTGCTAATTATCCCTTGCCCTTGTGGTCTAGGGTCAAGACAATGACTATTTACAACTGCAGACAGAAGGGGCCACTAGTAGGATGGGCACCCCTGCATCCTGTCCATTTATGACGTAATCAACTCTACAATAGCAAAGGGATCTGGAAGTGATGGCCCACCAAGCCAGCAGAACTCCAGGTATTTCAAACACACCAGAACTTCCTGAAGGATCCTGGTGACTCATGAGCATTAGAATAGCATTAATGGCAGGGGGGGAGGACAGAGGGAGGGCAGCTGGCTTCCAGTCTTTTAGAGCCTAGATAGGCTAGAATATTCATCTTTGAATCTCAGGCTTTGACGTTCACTGGCTCTACCAGGACTGGTAGAGTTGGCATGAAAGCCAATCTCCAGAACTCTGGCAATGACTCTTACGGAAGCTAGCGGTGGCCATGAGGGTAAGACTCTGTACTTGTTTTCTTTTTATCTCCAAACCTATGGTCTGTTTTGTTTGCATATCTCTTTCAGCCTATGCAATAAATCCTTTTTGCTGTTTGTCTCCTTATGATTGCCAGCTGAAGCAATACATTTCTAGGCGAGTGAAATTCCAAGCTGACTCTCTCAACAGAGAGGGGGACCCATCATTTCTTCCATAACCTATAAGTGGATGCCATTAGTGGCTAGCAGAGATGCCTCATTGCAGCTGAAGAATCCAGTGTAGCTACAAAGGAACTAAGGAGCTACTTCAGGGCAACCTCAATCTGTTCCTTGGAGCAAGTGCAGCAGAGCCTCCTGGGCTCCTGGGGTTCCCAGTGGCTATGTTCGTAACAAATGGAAAGGAATCTTACCATTTCATAAATAAATGTTTCTGTTCTGCACGGACGATCTATAATTATGCTTTCCTCTCGCTTATCCAGTGCCTTCTTTCTAATTCTAGAGGGGAAAGGATAATATAAAGCAAAGTGTTAAACTGACTGGCATTGAGATAATCAATCATAACTTCCCTAAACGTGACTGGCAAATGCATATGCTTAGCACCATCTAGTATTTGGCCTATAGAAAGAAAAATTAAAGAAAAAGAACTCTCCCCAAGACCTTTTCCTATGCCTCTTAACTAAAGAACTTACATATGCTTTTTTCCCTTGTCCACTGTATCTAAAAGCAATGGCCACCTTGGAGCTAATATGAGCCTGCTATTTTGTTTGCACCTGAACACCTCCTCCTTCACAAGGCCAATAAGTGATCAGTGTATGCAGAAAGAAGACAGCTTCAAATGAATTCCCTTATCCCTCAAATTGCACAAATGCAGAGTAGCCAAAAGTATGAGTTTTGAGACAGCTATGAAACTGAAAGTGGAACCATTATTTTCTACCTATTTGGGAACTGCTACTCTAATATTGTTTTAAGCATGAATTACTAGTTAAATTCAACAAAATCACAGACCTGAGGATTTAAGAGTTTTCTTTACCTTCCCTCATATTCCATGAGTCTAGGTATGTATCATTATATTGATTGTCAGAAATTTGCTGAGCAGCATAACCCCACCGTTTTTGCAATCAACCTGATCAACTAGAACAAACCATGACATTCAAACTATTCAACTTTCCTTAATACAAGTCACCCAGTTAGATGCTATATTCAAGTCAGGTAATTACACTGGACAGTCTCACCGTTAAAAAAGGAAGAGTTAAAAAGGATTCTGGAAGAACATCATAAGCTTCTTTCTTCCCAGGCACCTCAGTGTTGCTGTTGGTTGAGTACTATCCAAGAACATCTAGGTACAGAAACCTTATGTGGCTTTAAGTTACACTGACTGATGATGGCGGCCTCTCTTACCAAACTACTTTCCTTCATGATTGTTTTAACGGCTTGCTGTGTATACATCAGACCAAATCAGAAATCCAAGCTATTTATTTTGTCTCACTTAAGCGAAAAGAAAAAGGAGGGAGATGTAGATGTTAACCCCCCCCCAAACCAAGGAACCTACAAGGAAAAGCATACTGCTTCTCAATCATACCATATTTCTACATCTCTACCACACTTTTCAAGACATAGGCATGTCTATTTTCCTTCAGAGTCTAGGGTTGTGTACTCAGTCCACTGATCGGCCAAGTAACGGTCAAATATTTTAATCATTAACTTATTAGAACAGTGAAGAGAGATATTTTAAATCTTCAATAGGTTAGATACTTATGCTAATTACAACAAAAAGTTAACTGTCATTGTGAAACAATGCAATTAAACTCTGAAAAACTGTAATGATTTATCAGAACCAGCAATGTTAGGTAAGTGTAAATACAAATGATATTCAACACTGAAACAGGTTTTTTTCTTTTCCTTGGGTTTATCCTGCAACCCCAGGACCAGCCCAAACAGTTACAAAATTAAAAAAAAGAAAAGAAACTGAAATAAAACACACACCGTGCTGGCTATGAAAGCTTGGAACACTGCCTCTTGCACAAAAATGCAAAACAGCAGCTGGGGCAAGACTGGGTTGTAATAACAAGTCTGCCACAAAGAAAATCAAACTCCGCTAATGGCTTGCAACCCATTAGGCATAAGAGGGAGAGGCCCTTGTGGTATGCAATACCTGACCCATGCCATAAAATAATAAGTGATGGTTCCTCCAAAACAAAAATTGTTGGCAGACACCTGACACACTCATCACATGGGGCATTTGTACACATGCTTGCACCACCGCACTGGGTGCTTTTAAAGGCACCTGGCACTGCGGTGCATGCAGTTGTATAAGTGGCGAAATGCACGTCAGCACTGAGATAATGGCAGCAGCGTGCTTTTGAACTAAAACACGCTGGATGCGTTTTAGTTCAAAAGCACACCACTGCCATTTTCTGCATGCTGACATGCATTTTGCCACTTATACAAGTGCAAGCAATACAGCACAGTGCGCCTCAACTAGCATGCGGAGCAGACTCAATTAACTGAGTCTGCTCCGGCATGTCCCAGCATGAAAATGTATATGTATAAATGCCCATAAGCATCTAAAAGCAAAGAAAGCCAAAGAAAAAGGCTGAGCCAGTGTAAATAAAGAAGGCAAGGAAACAACATATAGATTTCAAATGACCTAGCAATTAAAGAAGACAAAAGACTAAATACACATTTCAAACAAAACCTGCAAAAGATGCAGAAAAGAGGTCCTGTACGTGACATCCTCACATTTCTCAAAACAGGCATCCAATGTCTAAGGTGTTACAAATACCTTAATCATTCAATGTATGTCTGGAGTTTTGTAAACAGACCATCACTGGTACAAGCTATTGCAAATTTGCCCCACTGATAAACAAATACCCAAAGACAGGTCCAGTAACCAATGCCTCTAAGTATCCTGTTTGACCACTCAAGGTCCACCACATTTAATTGCCAAGCTAGCCAATAGCTGCAAAAAAACACAAATCTTCACACCTAGACAAATTCAAAAACAGGAGCCAGGCAATTTAACAATTGTAACATGATGGTCACCCTTTTCCTCCCTGTTTTGTGTTACGTCTCAGCTGTGTGTTCTTGGGCAACCCTGGCACAGGATGCAGTCTGTCTGACTCACAAAGGACTCACCCCCCTCCCTCCCCTCCTCTACCTAAACGAAACTAATTAAGATGCAGTGAGAGACACACCTAAGACCCTCAAGATAAGGGTGACAAGAGTGAACCAACTGCCCTAGGTCTCATTTGCATCCGAGATGGAACCAGATGACCATTCATTTACATGAGAGATGGAGAACAGAAAGCCTGAAGCAGAGACTGCAGTGAATTCTGGGACCAGAGAAGCAGGGGAGCACTGCATGATGGGGAATCTGTGCTCCAAATGCTAATCAACCCATGTTCACACACACCCAGCTCAGCATTTATCAGACCAGTTCTAATCTGGATTTACTAAGGACTCTCTCCCCCCACCCCCTCTAAGTTTAATAGGCATCTTGGGCCGTACATTCCCCGGTCCCACTATGGGAGGCCTATTTAAACTTGATTGACTAAAACTCGGTTGCCGGGTTAGGGAATGCTGAGGCAAGAGACCAAGTCAGAGGGGGTATGGGCAACATTTGAACAATGGTTAAGGGTTCATCACAGCATCCAGCCTGCTGGAGCCCTAATCCCAGGTGTTGTCATATCTTTCCCAAGACAACTGGTGGGAGTCCTCTCCACAAAAGGTTATGAGCACCCCAATAATTGCTTTAAGTCTGTTAAAAGACTATAGTAAGATCTGGAAAAGTCATGCTAAGCTGAGGCTTGTGCACAACAAGTAAAAATCCAAAATCCTGATGCTGCAAGCTATCTATTGTTCCTGAAGAAACCATGAGATATCCCATCAGTATATCTGCCACCCATAGGAATTTCAAGCTGGCTCCCAAGTATTTGGGTTACTCCCTAATCTTAAGTGTTTCCTGATTATCAATCAGTTTCCTGAGATGGTCCAAACCAGATAACCCCTTGTCAATAGAAAAGACAATGATTTACACTACTGAGGGTGCTACGGAGCAGCTGAACTGAGGGTATAAAAATCTGTAAGTGTGTGTGCTGCTAGAGGAAAAGGAAGAAAAAGAAGTAGAAGCAGGAGGAAAGAAGGAGAAGAAGAAAACCCCTGTGCTGACACCATCCCCTGTCGTTCTTGGGACGCTGGAAGAACAGATCATCTCTCCCTTCAAGGACTGTGCTACAGACTGTGCCTGTCAGCTTTGCAGCCTGAGTACCGTGGACTAGGTGAGATCCCAGCGTTCTCTGTCTTCTTTCTAGGCATAAACTTCTGAACCTGAACTGTATCAGTTAAGCTTGAGCTAAGTTTCCCCAAATACTTAGTGAAACCAGGGTAGTATTGTCATTGTTGGTGTTTGTTTTTCTTTTGCATGTCTATTACTACTAGTACTATTATATATTTCATATGCTTAGCAATAAATAACTTTTATAGTCAAACTGGTAGTAATTGGGTATATTTTTCCTTCTCTGCTTCTCTTTCCTCCCGTGCTCTGCAGCAACGCTTCTTTTACCTATGCTAAAGATCCCTGTGAAGCCCAAATTATTGTGGGGTCTGCTCATCAAGAGGCCAAAGATTGGGACGTGCTGAGTTTGAAACACATAAGGGGATCAGCTTGTACAGGCTGATTGACCCAGTTTGACTCAGACGTGCCCTTATGAACTGAATGCTGGCCCATGAGGGTGTCAGCTGGACACCCAGCCGGATTCAGAGGGATTCTGTTTACCTGTGTGCTTGTGTCTGACTGCAGTTTATTGTTACTCTGATGAACTGATTCTTGGCATATGAGGGTGTCAGCCTGTCCATGATGATCAGCCCGGCTGGATCAGGCGTGTCATGTTAATTTGTGTGTATGACTGATTTGGGGACTGGAGGAACCCAGCCCCATTGAAATTGAGTCCTGCAAGATAGCTCCATTGGGGGTGAGGGCTTGCAGAAGGGAGAGATACAGCTCCGTATAGTAACACAAGCAGCACATTGACAGAATCACCAAGACCCTAGAAACATATCCCTAATAAATGTGGATCAGGCGTGTCATGTTAATTTGTGTGTATGACTGATTTGGGGACTGGAGGAACCCAGCCCCATTGAAATTGAGTCCTGCAAGATAGCTCCATTGGGGGTGAGGGCTTGCAGAAGGGAGAGATACAGCTCCGTATAGTAACACAAGCAGCACATTGACAGAATCACCAAGACCCTAGAAACATATCCCTAATAAATGGGCACACCCCAAAGTAATGGGCAAATCTGGTAACATTTGTTTGGATTTTAAATCAGCCAAACATCAAGGAAAAATGCTTTGAAGCTATACAACTAAACAGTGTAAAGCAAGACAGAACTGCCAGCGAAGTGTGCAGTCCTAGAAAGATCAAGAAGCCATACTGCACCCAGCCCACAAGTAAAGGCTACAAGACTGGGCCAGCTTCCCTGCCTGCATTGGTGAGAAAAATATGCAAATATGGTGCAGCCAAATATGTACTGGGACTTTCTGTAATAGCTCATTTTATATTGAGAAAGAGTCTTTTTCTGTCATTTAGTTTTGTAGCTTGTTGGTAGTTATTAAAGCAAACCTTTCTGCTATTAATCAACCAAGCGCGTCAATTCTTAAAGCACTAGGTTTAAAAACCCGTTTTTAAGTGCAACACACAGCAACTATAAAAGACAAAAGTCAGTTTTTAAATGCAGTTATACTAAATAGTCAGCACGCCAACTCTTCAAGCATTTTGCTTTGAATTATCTCCATCAGCTAACTGCTTTATCTATAATTTCATCATCATCACTGGTATTTCCTTCTTTCTCTTATTCTGAATATTCATCTGAACTCTTACATTTAATTCTCTTTTCTAATCTTAAAATTGTTATACATGGTCACCAGATTCCTAGCAGTGGAGGTCTTCGGTCTAATTCTGTTTTTTGAATGGATGATTCCCCAAACTTTCATTCCACACATGCAATAGTGAATGGCAGTATTAAAAGAATTTCTGTCACTCTAGCTGGACTGCAAAGAGAACAACTCTTTCCACCATGATGAAGCAACAAGTTGTTTAGATTCAACTACCGGGACTGTACTGCACATTGTTTTAGAACTGAATGGGCACTTCTTGCTTTATAATTTGCTATATTCTGCCGAAGTGTTTGTTTTTATATCCTTTAAAATTTGCAACAGTCATAATAAGGCTGAAAGCTGAATCAAATTCAGCATCAGAGAGGTCACATCCCTGGAAAAGTGTATCAAGAAGGTAGGCAGCATTATGTGCAGAAGTGATTGTTCTTGGCTTCATGGAATATCTGACAATATTTGAACATGGTCAAATAGTTCAACTGACATTACATGACCAATCAATCAACTGTGACCAGCTTGCCAACCCCACTGCAGACTTTCAAATATTTTTCATTAAAATCAATGGCAAAAAAGCACTCATTGCAAGAGCAAGCTATGTATTACTGCACTTTGTTTACTCAATGCAAAGCAAACAGCACATAGTATACCAAGTACAATAACAGCCTATGCTGGCCAAGCATAGGGCAATTTAACTAATATATAAAAGGGCCTCAGATATGTTGGGCTTGTCACTGCCAAATATTAGCATTTTAAAAGATAGGACTCAAACTGTCCAAGGGCACTGATAACACTAGTGCGACCTTTTATCTATAACCAGAGGACCACTAGTGTAGACTTCACAACATAATATCAGGGGCCGGATTGCCTAAGATACCCTCACAGCTCTCTGGAGAAATTGCTTCCCAACTTGTGCCAAGTTCATTTTTTGCCTCAAATTTACATGTCAGTCCAAAAAAGCTGGATCCAGAGCTCAGCAACTGAATCAGGAACCTGGTGCTTTATACTCAGTTTTAATCAAATTGCTAAATGCAGATGGCACAATTCTAAATTTCTTGCTAATATTCTTCAGTGCCCTATAAGAGCGGGTCAGCACAACCAATGTTCCTTGAAGACAGCTTTCATATATTTAATGTTTTTTCTAGAAATTGTTCTAGCAGCTACACCACTGTCTGAAAGACACACGCACATTTACACTTCATCAGTTAAAGAGTTTCTCACCAAGGTTATTACAAGGAAAGAACAACACATACCGAAGAGTTTCTAGCGTGGTGTCTTCAGGAATAACCTCTGGATCTTCTTCTCCATCAGGGCTCTTTAACATGTCAATGCTAAAGATAAGAACAGTTGTTAAAGGAATTTCACATCACATGCCTTTCATATGCATTGCAATCAGTGACTCTATTCTCAAAAAGAAAAAATCAACTAACCACTGGTCAACAAAATATGATTTTTAAATCTCAATAAACAGCTACAGCAGGGCTCTCAAACTGGCAGCCATGGACTGCATGGAGTTATGAGAGCTTAAATCCAGCCACCACTGCTCTCTCCATTGCTCCAACATCAGCAGCAGCTGGGGATTCCATGGACATCACTCCTGTCCCTGTCCCAGGCAGGGAGATGCAGCATGGCGCAGCCTTCAGCACTGGAAGAGGGCCTAAGTTGCTCTGAGTGTCTGAGCGGTGCGGTGCAGTGAGGGAGCTCATGACCAAGAAGCTAAGGGTGAGTCAGGACTCCTGGGTATGCGGTGCAGCAGAGGGAGTAGCAGCATCACAGGCAGGCATCCAGAAGAAGAGTCCAGCAGGGAGATCCAGTGAGCAGCAGGGGGGCACATGTGCAATGAAGAGCAGCAGAGACAGGACACCACAATGCAACAAGAGAGGGCGTGCAGTGCAGCAGGGGGTGAGGGGAGCAGCAGGGGGACAGGCACAATGCAGGGGGGAGCACAGAACACAGTGGGAGGGGCTCCAGGAAGCAAGGTTCAGTGAGGGGAAAGGGGGGCAGCAGCAGGGGTACCTGGCACAGGACACAGCAAAGGAGCACCCTGCACAAAGGTACAGCAGTGGAGGTGCCAGGCTACAGAGCGCAGTAGCAGGGGGTGGTATCCAATGCAGCAGGAGGCATGCATACAGACTCCAGGGTGGTCCCCCATGGCATGACCCCTGCTAGTGTGGCCCAATAAGCACATGACCCCAGGCCACTTAAAATTTGGACAGCCCTGAGCTGCAGCATATACTGGAACATACACAACATACGCTGGATTGCTGCGATACTCCTGCAAAGTAAATGCAGTAAATAATCTCACCTCCTGGTTAGAGCTTTCAGTTTCTTAGATGATCAGTCCAATTCCTTCTGACTACAGTTTATGAGTTTTGTTAGCATCCAATGTGACAAGGTGTGCCTTTCTAGAATCGACACAATATTTACTCATGTAATAAATGCACTTTTTTTTTTAAACTGTTGCCACCACAAACTAGGGTGAGACCATTTCATAAACCCTAGAGTACGACTGAGGAAGTATCCATAAAAAAAAAAAAAAGAAGCTGTGATCTCATTTGAGCATCAGCCCCTACTTTCCCAGCTTGCAGAATCTTAGACAAGACTCAACTCAGAACAAAACTAATGTACAGTACTGTGCAGACTTCCTGTCTGGGTGCATTTCATCCTTAAACAAACTATCTTTTAAGAGAAATACTCCTACAATCTGTTTCTTTAGAAATCTAGATGCAACCAATATACAGATAAAACTTTGAAAAATTACAATTTAACTGAAGTCAGTGGCATCACTGCCACCATGATTTGGTCCATAATACCAAAGGAGCCAGACCTTACAAACAAGAAACACACTACTTAGAGTGCACCCTCAGCAAGTTTGCAAATGACACCAAGCTGGGGGCTGTAGTAGATATGATGGAGGGTAGGGCCAGGATTCAGAGTGACCTAGACAAATTGGAGGACCCCTGCTAAATGGGCAGAAACAATTGGTGATGGACGAAGGGGACAAGGCTGAACTCCTCAACGAGTTCTTTGCCTCAGTGTTCCTAAGTGAGGGGCACGACAAGTCTCTCACTGGGGTTGTAGAGAGGCAGCAGCAAGGCGCCAGACTACCATGCGTAGACCCTGAGATGGTGCAGAGTCACTTGGAAGAACTGGATGCCTTTAAGTCGGCAGGCCCGGATGAGCTCCATCCGAGGGTGCTGAAGGCGCTGGCCGACATCATTGCAGAGCCACTGGTGGGAATAT